TCTAAACATACACTACCTATCTAGAATTTTCATTCAATCTCCATAATATCATATTTATATTATATAAGATCTATCCCTCTTTCTTTATCATCAAACTCAAAAATACACATATAAACATTAATTGTACCATTAAAACAGAATATTCTTTTAAATACTCCTTAAATTATTAAACTTAAACTTCTTATCTAGAATTTTCATTCAATCTCCATAATCTTCTCTCCTCTTTGTAAATTATTCAGAAAAAACTAAACATTTTCTAATGTCATACTTATATTATTTAAAGTTTATCCATCATTCTTTATAAACACCCTCAAAAACACACATATAAACATTACTTATAACATTAAAGTTCCCTTATACATGTTTAAAACAAAATATTCCTTTAAATGCTCCTTAGATATCTAAACATACACTACCTATCTAAAATTTTCATTCAATCTCCATAATATCATACTTATATTATATAAAATCTAATCTATCTCTCTTTCTTTATCATCAAACACAAAAATAAACATATAAACGTTAATTATACCATTAAAACAAAATACTCTTTTGAATACTCCTTAAATTACTAAAATTAAACTTCTTATCTAAAATTTTCATTACTCTCCATAATCTTCTCTCCTCTTTACCAATAACCAATTCCATCCACAATGAACTGTAATCTATCAATAACCTAAAAACAATCTATACATTCTTAATCAATCTCTCTTATCCAAGAACCTTGAGAGAAGTGCTTGGAAATCTGCCCTTAAAGGTTGCTCCAAAAAATTTGTAGATCTTGCTTCTCCCACTGGCTCGGAAAAAAATACTTGTGAAGCTTCCTTAACATCCTTCTTCTGTTGCTCCTTTTCTTTACGTTTATATGTTACACAGGTTATCCTCTGCTCCTTCATCTCAACTTGTTGAGACCCCTCAGTCTGAAATTTCCCAATTTTCATCAATATAGGCTCTTCAGACTGCGATTCTACCTTCTTCTCTTCCAAAACTTTAGACATAATAAGTGGCGATGAACATACCCCCAGAACCGAAGTGTAAAACTCTTTTGCTTTGAAAACAGTATTAAGTCTATAACGTATCCCCAGATAGTTCACCACCATTCCAGTCGGAACGTCCCATCTGAACAACATTCGCCTCTTTTTAAGTTCATCTGCTAAAAAAGCAAACTCCTTTCTTCTTCTTAAAATTTTAGATGGGATCTCCTTTAAAATTATAACGTCTTGTGAAGCAATCTGAAACCTCTTATTGTAAAAAGCTTGTATAATTTCATTGCGCAGGGATCTTTTCCCAAAATAAATAACCACATCTCTTGGCAGGTTTCTTTGCTTTGCCACCACAGAGTTAACTCTAAATGTTTTTTCAATTTCACTAAATATTTCCTCTTTTTCTCTGTCCAGAATCACAGCAAAATCATTTGCAACCATCTCTCTCAGATCTCCTTGCAGAGACTCTCTCAAGCCTCTAATTCTTAAAGCATATTCCATTTCTCTATATTGAAGCATAAGAATTTCATCTTGAGAATTTTCCATCTCTTTTTCCATACCTTCAAATTTTCCGTCCAAGAGCTCCACTTTGTCTTCAACCTCTTCTACACAAAAGTTCAACTTTTCAAGAACAGAGGCAAATCCTTTTAAAGCCAAAACTATATCTTGCCTCAGAATCCTATTATTTTCCACTAAAATCTCTTTCACTTCACCCCTGATTTGAGATATAGCCTTTCCCATTATGTCTTGCAAATCCTTTACCGTTAATAACTGTGCCAAAGAAGAGGGTGAAGCTATTGATTTAGATTGTTGCACTGATGATATCGCCGAAGAAGAAACCACCTTAGGAGCTGTAGGAATTACTGGACGCTTTGGAGCCATCTTAGAAAATCTTTACTCCTTCTTAAAAATTATCCAAAAAAAAGGAGGGAAAGAAAAGTTAAGCAAAAAAAAAAGGGAGATTGACTCCAAAAAATCAAAAACTCCTTCAAAAGGAGATCATTATAATAAAAAAAAAAATTTAAAAAAAGGAAAGAAAAGGAAAGAGAAAAGAGAAAAAAAATAATTAAATAAAAAATCCATTCCGTTGTTTTTTAGAAGTACAAAAAACAAAAAAAATCCTCCAAAAGATAAAAAAAATTAAACAGAAAGGGAAAATAATCCTCCTAAAATCCAAACCCAACATCAAAAAATCATTATAAATAATCAAATCCATTCCATTCCATTCCAATCGTTTAAAAAAAAACACCAAAAAACCTACCGATCGCCATTTTACTTTCCCTTTCAACAAAAGAAGAAAACAAAAAGAGGGAATAAAAGTAAATCTTTAAATTTAAAATCCAAATAAGATCAGAAAAAACAAAATCCTCTATTCAGCTCTGTCCGCTTTTTAAAAAAAACTCACCAGGTCACTTTAATCGCGGAGGTGGTTGCAGCGGCTTGTTTTGTCCCTAGAGACAAAAACAGCTGGGAAGCAGAGACAATCTGAACTCCGTGGGAGCACTCTTTTCACCCCCCCCCAAAAGAAAACCTTGGGGGTGCATAAGAGGCTCTACCACTATTCAGATGATACTCTTCTCCCTCCCTTTGCCCGGGAAGGAGATTTTGAACCGCAGAACAGCTGATGTCTGCTGTTCATAGTGGTTCTAACACTTTCCCAGGAGGACGGCTACAAAGTAGCCGCCATCGCGCGCGCAGATCCACCGGCCGTCCTGGACAGTCTCTTCTTAAGAACCTCCACTGATGAAGTACCCACAACTTCTGATAGCAAGCTGGTTAATTGTCCTCACTGTTAGGAAGTTTCTCCTTAATTCCAAGTTGAATAGTCTGAAGCCACTCTTGCTCCTATTGCTTTTTGCCCATCCTCAGTCATTCTGTTTCTTTGTTTAAGTGAGGAAGTAACTCTGAAATGATGACCTAACAGGGCATGAGTTGTCTAACAAATAATAATTTCCTTAGGGCCAAAGCAAATATAATATAACTCTTATAAGCTTTAAAGTTGCACCTACATCTGGAATAAAGAGGTGCAAACCTTGTATTGTAAGTTGCCAAGATAAGCCTCAGAGTAACATGAGGACATCTCTAAAAGAAATAAAGAAGCCTAAATTAATAAAACACAGACAATGCCATAACTTGATTTACTGTGCATACACACAAAAGAGATCTGTAATGCTTCAATCTGTGTGAACTTTTTAAAAGTAGGAACTCTAAATATCTACTTTTAGGTGTTGTTTTGGCTTCACAAGCCCTTGGAGATTAAGACTGGGTGTTCATGAAATCAGCAAAGAACCAGCTAGAACCAGTTTTCTTTTCCCACCCTAAAGACCACAAATCCTGAACAGTAAATTTTCCAGATCCATAGAGATCATTGTCCTTGCTCACTGATGACTTATCAAACAGGTAAGTTGGTGTGATTCATCCATTTTTTAAAAAAGGCATTCCTATTTTAGGAAGCTGACATTTCAATCATGAAATTGTTTATACTGATCTTCTTTCATTCTCTTTTTCATATATTTGTTTAAAATGCTTAGATTACCACAAAACAGGATAAAAACCATTAATGATCTGTAAAGGATTATATGACATTTATGATTCAGTAATGCCAGGGAGGATCAAATATGGGTTTTCTTGCTGATGTTTCCCTGAAAAAAAAAAAGGAACATTTTATTTGTAGTTGACAGGAAATTAAAACAATCACATTGTATGAAGAATTAATCCTTGCCAGGCCAGTCTTCCATAAAAAGCTGTGAGAATAAAACATATTTGTACTATTTATCTGGAATGTTGAGAACAGGGGTCTTCAAACTCAGCCCTGAGTCATAAAAGGGCCGAGTTTAAAGACCCCTGGTTTAGGGTATATAATATTTTATTTTCACACAAACATTTCTTTCATGTGATATCAGGCAAAAGTGTTAAATGAAACCTCTGTCTGTATAGCAATAGACCACTGAATACTCCTTTACCAAACTTAAAGAAGGCAATTTTTGAAAATCTATAGAAATCTGTGGCTGATCACTAGGATTTTGGTCTGTTTATTCCAAGGTTTCTTGGTAGAAGAACTGAATATATTGTGTTATATGCAAGGCATCAGTCTCTACAAAGCCAGGTATTTTATGAGGATGCACCTGCATTTTTGAATGGGTATGTGAATTTTTATGGGTAATATTAATAAAGTTGGCAAAAGAAACAATAAGATTGAGTTAATATTTTTTTATTTTGGAAAAATATAAGCACATACTGTAGTTGACTAGCTTTTCTAAAATCAATGCCACATGAAAATGTTTAACTGTCTTCTGATGACATTACTGCAACCTCCCCCACCTTATTGAAGAAGCTGAATTTGTTCAATCAGTATCTTCCAGTTCAATAATCTTTTTCTGCACATTCAAATTACAGAAAAAAGGTACAGTGTGAAGGTACAGATTGATTCACACCTTTCTATCTCACATCTGATTCTTTTGGGAAATTGATTACTTAGCATTTTCTAAGCATAGAAAGGGAGACCTTTTGCCGATTACTGTTAACAAATAGAAGATAATTCTAACAGTGTTTGACAGAAGAGCCTGTGTTATAGGTGCAATACTGGCAACCAATTAAGAAAAAATTATATTGAGAGGAAAAATAAGAGTTTGTCACTTTTGAATGGCAGAAAAATGAAAATATAATTTGAAAACTTTCTTGCCAACTTTGTTTAAAACTGGTTTAATTCTTTTTAAATGGAAGCATCTATATTACTTATTTCTCAATTACATAATAAGCCTAATAACAAGAGGAACTTTATAAACACTATGGAATGCGGAGAAGAACACATTATAGATGAGAGTCAATCATAGTATCATGGTTAGAATGTAACTAGGATTGGAGAGTCACACGTTTAAGTCACCTTTTGGCATGAAAATTCACTGGGTGACTTTTGATGAATAATTCTTTCAACTCAATGTATCTCACAGGTGGGCTACTGTGGGTGGGTGGGAAATTCTATGTACAGTATACCACCTGGAAGAAAGACAGGCTATAAATATACGAAATAAATAATATAAACAATTCTTATTGACAGTCTTAAAGTTTTATAATTATAAAAATGCAATTTATATTGGGCATGGGATTAATGTACAATGCCCATGGAACCAACTTGCAGACATCGTTCTTTGGCCAACTATCCCCTTTGGTTCATCTTAGTTTTATTTTATTTTCTAAGTTTTTTTTTTTAATTAAGAAAAAGGATAGGAAAAAGGATATTTTCTTGACAACAAAGTGCCCTCCAGTAATCTTTCCAAATCTTCCTAATTTAAATTCCAAGGATTTTTTGGTGGTAGTGTGATAGATCAGGAAAGATTTCCTCTAATTTTATAAGACCAATATTGTAAAGTTAGGGCAGTATGAGTTTTCAAACCGTACATAAGGGGTTGGTTGGAGCCCAGTATTTTATTTGAAAGTCTTTTCATTTACCCAGAAAATAAAGGATAACGCTTGAGCTGTTAGCTAGATGGCTGAACGTTTTGCAAATATCCATAACAGCTATTTTGTAGATAGACAAACTTTTTATCCTTTTTGCAAAATCACTTTGTGACAAGTTTTTGAAATTTTGATTATGCCCAGAAAGCTGCCAATTTATCTACCCATCCATATTACTATTAAAACCTCAGCAATTCAGATCCTGAATACTTGAAATGTAAGATGGTGCCCTCACTTTGTAGATAGCAATGTTGAGTTACTATGGAAGGCTGTGGAACAGCATATCCCAAGAATTGCTGGTGCATGCTGGACTTGACAGTGTGATATTTTGCTGGGATTTTCAGCACAGCAGTTTGCTATATTGTAAACTGCCCACAAAGGAAAGTAATGATGATAGTGGCAATGGGGAATGTGTTATGTCAGCTTTAGAAGGCAGTAGCTGACAGACTTGAACTGTATCTATCACTCCCCCAGGATTCCTGTTTTGCAGTCTTATGTCAACCACTCTCACAAGAACATTGCTGATGACTGATTTTAACCCACTGGGAGGATGGAATGGGGATCTCCACTGCTATAAAGTCTTCACTGGCAAAACTCCTTTCTATGAAAATATCTGTTTGGTGTCAATATCTTTAAAGTTACCTTTGGGGGGGCTTCAAAGGAAAGCAGAGATGATGATGATGATGAAAAACCCCTCTAATCAAACCATCCATCAAGCAATATCAGATGATTAGGGGCACTTGACAAAACACAAGTGTGTGTAAGTTTGCATGTGTTAAGCCAATTCTCAATGACAACTAGGTAAGTGAAATAAGTGACTGATATGATATCTTCACTAGTTTCCATTGTCATACTGTAAATGAAATATGGATAGTTTGCAAATATAGAGCAATCAGATCTAGGTTGCAAAAGCTTAGACATCTAATAGACAGCAGCAGTGAGACAGTTTTTCAGATTATTTGCAGTGGTCTAATAGGCCATTCGAATTTCTGGAGCTCAGAAATGGAAGTGCTATGTAAGTACAACATAAGGGAAGGTGTAGGGTAGAGAGAGGTTTTTGAGTAGTTGATTTAGAATGAGTTTTCATGTGATGTACACCAGAGCAGACAAAGTTATTTGTATACTAGATTCTGACATAGGATCTCACTCTCTGTGCATTAAAGAAAATGTTATTTTGTTGTTCTACAAATCATTGAGAAAACAATTGGGACTCGGTTTACTAAACATAATGATTGCAAGGTTGAAATTTCAAATTGTTTGTCATACAAGAGTACCTTTGATTCTTCTTTGACACTAAGAGCTCTTTTAGAGAAAGTTTCTTTTTCTTTGCAATTATTCTGCCTTACAACATGTTAGCAAATGTGCAGATCACATTAGGTTCCGTTTGCCATTCTCCTGAGAATTATTCTATATTCTTCTTTCATATCTTATATTTGTTCTAAGCAGAGAAAATTGTATGACCTTCCATTTTTAATTTTTCAATGAGTGTTATGAAATGGTTGTAAATACTTGTGTGGGAATTTAAACTTTGCTTTCCTAATTTCCCAATATAAGAATCCAATTGTTATACCACTGGCTATCTCTTGCCTTACAATATCTCTTTTGTTTGGAAGCATCCCAAGAGCAGTCTAGCAGATAAATAACAAAATGTTCTCATTTACTTATTCACTGAAATAAGAAGCTGAAAGAATAAGTGAAGGTGAACTTTGGGTGGGTATGCCTGTATGTCAGAAGTAAAGGAGGAACTGTATTGTTAATTTTTTATTTCCCTTGGGGGCCTTCTTATTTTTTATAACTTTAAAGCAAAACAAATGTTGCTTTCCCCTGAATAATTACAAGACAAGGGTTAAGATAAGGCTGCTCAAAATCTAATTTTGTGCTTAGGTATATTGTACATCATTCCAAGATATGCAGACCCGAGTTTGCAACACTAGGATGTTGATGCACTATGTCTATGGATCTTTTCAAGTAGAGACTGGTTATGTCTCTAAATGTAAGAAATCCTATAGCCCTGCATTTAATGACACTGCCAAGATGACAGACTAAGAGGCTTACAAGGTTTCTTCTGTTTACATATTTTAGTTCAGTTTATTTTTTATTTCTCCTAGCAAAGTAAATCTGGAAGGAAAACCCCAAAACTTGGAGATTATGGTTGACCTCAGACATCAAATGGATCGGGGATATATTTAAAATCAATTTAATAGGATTATTCTTTGAAGAGATCATGATGATAATGATGATGCATACTGATTTTGAATATATAATTCAAAAGTCTTTGAAATTCATTATAGGTTATTGTGCAAAAAAAAAAGATAAATAAAATCTAAACATCTTTTTTGTATTTGTGTATACCCTTCACACTTTCAGAAGCAAGACTGTTGTAGATTTTCATAAGAACATACCATTCTTCTGGTAAATGTTTTTGCTAACATTAATACAACAATACTGGACAACTTGGAAATCTTAAATGAGTTTCAGTAAGTTGCTGAAATACAAAGATAACAAACCACTGACATTCATTTCATCTTGATGTATAATTTTATTTAGAACCACAAGGTGAACAGTGAGTAGGGTTAGATCAGTGGTTCTCAACCTTTTTAATGCCGCGACCCCGAACTGGTCGTAAGTTGAGGACTACTCAACTGGTGCAGCACCATTTGCAGAATGGGACTTTTGGTGGGCTCAGCATGGCAGACACAGCCTGGACAATTCCTATTGGCTTTTGAAAGCCAATAGAATTAGACTCTATTCAAGAGAATCTATTCTATTGGCTTTCAAAAGCCAATAGAATAAAAGGGAGTAGCACAGCTAAGGAAAAGGGGGGGGGAAATGGCGGACTGTTGTTTGGTGACCCCCGTGAAATGGTCATTCGACCCCAAATGGGGTCCCGACCCACAGGTTGAGAACCACTGGGTTAGATAATTAAGTTGTCTAGATACAATAATTCTGTATTAAATGTTGGCAGATTCTTGAAAAGCGCCTGTCACATTTGACTAATATTATCAAACCACATGAGGTTGTTCTAAGATTTAAAAGTGGGAATCAGATAAAAGGCAACAGTTTTTTTCAAGAAATTAAATTAGTCTAAATTAATGAAGGAAAAATAGGATGCCACAAACCCAGATCTTTGTAAGTAAATCTGCTTTGATTTTATGTATGTGATACACTTGTATTGATTCTGTTTTCTTGTGATCAGAATTTTTACCAGGTTTGCTGAGGTCAGATTTACCAGGTTGCTATGGAAGAGGATAAGCCCTCCTAAGTAGAGCCTTATTAGCTCACTTATTTTGGTGATAGTTTAAAAATACAGCAGAGTATCATTGTAAAAGTGACTGGGTTGTATGATGGCTTGGGATAGATTAATGATAGAATACTGCTTGGGATAGATTTCTGATTAATGCTAGCAATCATTATCAGACAAAATGTGATAAAAATAAACTCACATAGACATGGCAGCTTTTAACTTTGGCTAATCTTTTACAAAGAATTCCAGTACATGCCAGCCTGTATATCTAAGGTAGTATACAATGCTAAGACTTCCAAAAGGCACAAAAGCAATGATGTGACAATACTAGTGGCAAATTCTCTTTTTTTTTCTAATTTTGCTTTTCATCCCCAAGAAACTGTGCAGAAGAATATGACAAAGTCAATTCAACTTAATCACTTCCTAAAACATTCTGCTAACAAGCAGGGGGATATAAGCAAATACGTCACATAAAGAAATACAACTAAAGGCCTAAGAGAACAGTCACACTTTACTATAAATTCTGTGCCACAAGAAAATTCAGCAAATAGTTACGTTTAGGACCATATAATGACTATGGGATTTAGTCTGAATGCAATTTACAAAATAGCTCAATATAACTGGAATTGAGGTGAGCATTAAAAATATTATTATAATATGGTAGTCCCCCAGGCTCAAAGAAGATACTCTGTTGTGCAGTTCAGCTGTGGACATGAAGGTGGCTTTGCAATCCCAGCCTGTAAATATGGTAGGGGCACCGGTGGTCCACTTTTAGCTAGTGGAGACTTCATAGCATGGGATCACCAGCACCTGCAAGTTCTGCTTCCCTTGGCTGGATGTCATACTGGCATAATGTTTCTTTTACAGTGTCTTTGTAACATTTGCATTCAACTTCTTCAATCTTGAGGTTTCTTCCCAGACTTCAATATACTATAGAGCAACTAGCAAAGCATACAGCAGTCATCCATTCTAAAGACATGTCCCATCAATTTCATCTGGGCTCTGATAATCAGAGACTTAATATTGGTGGACTCCACATGATCAAGGTACCCTAAGGCTCCGTCTAAGGCCCAGTATGCTTCAATATCTTCATCAATGACTTAGATGAGGGAATAGAAGGGGAACTCATCAAATTTGCAGATGACACTAAACTGGCAGGAGTAGCCAAAACCCCAGAAGACAAGCTCAGGATTCAAAAAGATCTTGACATACTGGAACAATGGGCCCTATCCAACAAAATGAGTTTTAATGTGGAGAAAAGCAAAGTTTTACATTTAGGCAGGAAAAAATCAAAGGTATAAGTACAGATTAGGTGAAACCTGCCTAAAAAACAGTAACTGTGAGAGGGACCTTGAAGTCCTAGCGGACGATCACTTGACTATGAGCCAGCAGTGTGCAGCAGCAGCCAAAAAGCTAATACAATCTTGGGTTGCATAACCAGAGGTATAGAATCAAGATCATGCAAAGTATTAGAACCACTGTGAGACCACACCTGGAATATTGCAACCAATTTTAGTCACCATATCACAAAAAAGATGTTGAGATGTTGGAAAAAGTTCAGAGAAGAGCAACTAAGATGATGCAAGGCTTGGAGACTAAAAATATGAAGAACAGCTGCAGCACTTGGGTTTGGCTAGTCAAAAGTAAAGAAGAAATAGAGATGACATGATAGCAGTATTCCAGTATTGAGAGGCTGCCACAAAGAAGAGGGGGTCAAATTATTCTCCAAAGCATCAGAGGGAAAGACAAGAAACAATGGTTGGAAACTGATCAAAGAGAGAAGCAACCTGGAATTAAGAAGAAACTTCCTAACTGTGAGGACAATCAACCAGTGGAACACTTGCATTCAGAAATTATGGGCGCTCCATCACTGGAGGTTAGAAGAGACTGGACAGTCACTTGTCTGAGATGGTATAGATTCTCCTGCTTGAGCAGGGGCTGAACTCGAAGACCTCCAAGATCCCTTCCAGCTCTATTCTATTCTATTCTATTCTATTCTATTCTATTCTATTCTATTCTATTCTATTCTATTCTATTCTATTCTATTCTATTCTATTCCCCCCAACTTGGAGACACAGTCTTGCCAAAGAATGCCAAGGATGGAGTGGAAAGTTTGTATGTGAAATGTCTCCAGTTGTTTGATGTGGCTTTAGTATAAAGTTCAGGATTCATATCCATATAGGAAGCAAGGGAAAACTACAGGTCTGTAACTTTGTGGAGTTACAGATATTGTGTTGATTGAGCAGTCTAGTTCATACCCATCCCAATACTTGGCTGGAGTCAATTTCTTTGTCCAAAGACCCATTGCTTTAGATGATGCTTCCAATATTTGAAGCTGTTTATATTTGTGGCTGGTATTTGGTGTGGATTGGTAAAGAACTTTAGTTTTGCTCAGGCTGATAGTCATGCAGAAGAACATAGGATATGCTGATAATTTGTTCAGCATTATCTGTAAATCACTGTCTTTAGCAAGAAAACCAAAATCTTAAAATCCCGAGATTGACTTTTTTTGCCTTTTGCTGACTACCACAACTGATTGTAATTTTCAGATAAAGTA